GGGTCAACTCAAATGGCAGCTAACAACAATAAATAACTTTCATTACTTCAATTAAAGCCAATTCAGGAAACTTCTTGGGTGTCTTCTGTGAGCCAGGTACTGTGCTGGGTACTGAGAATGACGTAGGGAAGTTACAGAAGTGAATAACACATGAATGATTCAGTCCTCAGGGGTCATGTGATTCAGTGGGTGCTAAGTCATAGAGAAAAGCAGGTGTGTGATAGTTATAATAACAGTAAAAATTTACATGATTAAGAAGTAACTATGTGTCTTAGGCTAGGTTCTCCAGAGAAGCAAAGTCAGTGAGGTGTGTGTATGTGTGTGTGTGTGTGTGTGTGTGTGTGTGTGTGTATATATATATATATATACATATATATAAACTCGTTGCCATTGAGTCAATTCCGACTCTTACCAATCCAATAGGACAGAGTAGAATGCCTCATAGGGTTTCCAAGGAGCAGCTGGTGGATTCAAACTGCCAACCTCTTGGTTAGCAGCTGAGTTCTTAACCATCGTGCCACCAGAGTTCCATATATGTATATAGATAGAGATTTATCTCAAAGAAATGGCTCATGAGGTTGCGAAGGCAGGCAAGTCCCAAATTCATGGGTCAGGCATCAGGCTGGAGGCTTCTCCTGACTCATGTGCTGCAGGGGATGAAGAACCCAAAATCAGCAGGTCAGACAGTAGGCTGCTGGCCCACAGGGCTGCGGAAGCTGGCGAATCCCAGAATCAGTAGATCAGATGGCAGGCTGCGTGCTCACAGGGCTGCAGATACTGTTGAATCCCCAAATCAGGTCAGACGGTAGGCTGCTGGTTCACAGGGTTATGGAAGATGGCAAATCCCAAAGATGGCAGGTCAGATGGTGTCTTAGGCTGGGTTCTCTAGAGAAGCAAAACCAGTAATGAGTGTAAATATATATATATATATATAGAGAGAGAGAGAGAGAGAGAGAGAGAGATATTTATATCAGGGAAACAGCTCACGTGACTGTAGAGGCTAGAACAACCTAAGTTCATGGATCAGGGTAAAGGCTTCTCCCAAGCCACGCAGCCACAGAAGCTGGCAAGCCCAAGATCGGCAGGTCAGAGAGCAGGGCTCTGCTCACAGGCTGTGAAGATTGACGAATGCCAAGTTTGGCAGATAAGCTGACAGCTCAAGTCCCAAGAACTGGAGATGAGACAACAGGAGACAGCCACAGGATCCAGAGAGATCAAAAAGCCAGAACATCTGCTTATACTCATATGCAGTCCACACCCCCAAGGAACTCCCTTTCATCTGATTGGCTACTCACAGGATATTCAATCATGGGAGTGATCATATTTAAACACTGAGAATATGGTCCAGCCAAGTTGACACACAATCTTAACCATCACAGATGGCAGGTTGCTGGCTCAAGTTCTGAGAACTGGAGGTCAGATGATGACCATCTGGATGCAGGATACAGAGCAAGGGATAGCTTTGCCAGAGCATCCATATATATTGGATACAGGCCACATCCCCTTATCAGACACTTGAGTAAGGGCATGACTTGAGTAAGTGTGTGACTTGAGTCACACCCTCTTGTAATGGTGTGACTCATGATACACCCTACACTAAAGCTGCCTCATCAACATATATAGATTAGGATTTATAACACATAAAATGAAAGATTATTACATAATATCACATAATGGAGGATAATTACTAGTTGGCCAAGTTGACACATACCATTAACCATCACACTGCGTATCAGGCACTATTCTAAAAGCTTTACATATATGATCTAACTTTAGTCTCATAGTATCTCTGAGAGCCAGGTATTTTCATTATTCCCATTGGACGGAAGAGGAAACTGAGGCAAATAGAGGTTGCAGAACTTGCTCCAGTTTGTTGTTGTGCTGTTGTGTGCCGTCAAGTTGATTCTGACTTATAGTGACCCTATATGACAGGGTAGAACTGCCCCATAGGGTTTCCTAGGCTGTAATCTTTAAGGCAGCAGATCACCAGGTCTTTTCTCCCACAGAGCAGCTAGTGGTTTCGAATGGTTAGCAGCTGAACACCTAACCATTGTGTCTCCAGGGCTCTTTTGCCCCACGTTTTACCCATAACTCTTTGTTGTTGAGTCGATTCCGACTCGTGACCCTTTTGGACAGAGTAGAACTGCCCTACAGGGTTTCCAAGGCTGTAATCTTTACGGAAGTAGACTGCCACATCTTTCTCCCACAAGGAGCTAGTGAGATCAAACCACTGACCTTTTGGTTAGCAGCCGAGCGTTTTAACCACTGCGACACCAGGGCTCTTTAAACTGTAAATAATGAAGCTGATATTCAAACATGGGCAATCTGACTCACATCTGTGTGCTTACAAAAAGTGCTAATACTTAAGGAAATAATTTTAAAACAGAGATTAATCTCAATTCGACTCTGGTTTTCTCTGACTCAAAAAATATTATTTCCTCTTTCCTCACTCTCTATGGCCACCTGAGTAGTTCTACCCATTTTTCTGAAGGGGTGCTTGAAATACCCGAACTGCTCTCACAGATTATGTACTGCTGGAAATGCCCTCTTTAGTGTTCAAAAAAAAATTCATTAGTTTCAAGTGTGTCATTGTCGCTGGCGGGTTGAGGAGAACCAGGTTTTCTGGGAAGGACTTGGAGGTGGAAACTCAAGAAGGTATTTTCAAAGCTGGGAGCTGGGAGCCCTGAGCCTGGAGAGCAATGTCTTGATTCAGCACCACGGACAGAGCTCCGGGAGCCCTCAGCACCCTGGACAGAGAAGCTGATAGAGCCTGCTGGGGGAACCCAACAGCCGTTACGAATGAACCGAGCTAAGACAGAGTGCTGAACTCTCTTTTCTTCAGCCAGATCTCAGTCACCTGTTCCTGAATTTTATAAAGAGGTACAGGGAGTGAATATATTTAAGGGCGCTATTAACAGGGGGATAAGATTCTTAGATGGGGAGGATTATGTAAATAAAAATGGCTTTGGCTGATTTACTCAGAGAACTCTTGGTAGATCTAAATTAGGGTCCTCAGAAGTGGGACATTGATAATAATGTTTGCTAATTATATGTATTTTTAAAGGCAGAATTGCAAACAGCCACAGTGTGTTTTTTTTTTTTAATTCCCCAAAGTTCCATCCCCCATCCCTTACATTCAAGGTTTAGTCTTTGGAGGGCACTCCGTGTGGGAAAGAGAGGGAAATAATCTCTCTTCACCCCCTTCCTTTCCTTCCCATTTTCCTCTTTCCCATCCCCACTCATCCTCTTTCTCTCTCAAATACATCCGTGCACGCATACAGACACACACACACACACACACACACACACACACACACACACAC